TCTCAGCCCATGAGTTTTCTCACTTTTACTCTTCTGATTCTCTCCCCCATCCCAGTGGAGGTGAGTGAGCGAGCAGCTGTGTCGTGCTTAGTTGCCGACTGAGGTTAAACCACAACAAGGAGATAGAAAGAATAACTCTTGGAATAGCTTTTCATTCTCTGTTGTTCAATAAACAACTGTAACAGGAGCAGTCTTGTATGACCAGCCATCATGCAGCAAGTATTTTTACAATGTTAATTCCAAACCCTTCAGCATCAATCCTCATATGGATAGATGGGGGGGAACTGAAAAAAAAAAAAAAAATCCTTCAAACAGCTACCTTTGCTATGAGTTACTTTCCTAAGTCATAGGACCTTTCATATGGAGCATCTCTCAGTGAGGTACTCCCAGAAATAAACTTTTACAAGTCCATTAAGGTTAATTTCAGATTGTGAACATTCTTTAAAACTTGCCAATTTTCATTACAGAAAAGTAGCAATCTTGAAGTATTTGCAGTATTCCATGGTTATTCTTGAAAAAAAAGTCAGATGACCTCCAAATGCAGAACATTTCTTAAAACAAAAGTGGTGGGGTTAACCTTCCTCCCTGTCCTGTTTCTCATGTAGGTTGTCTTAACCCTCACTCACTCCAAATCAGCATTGCAAATCCCAACCTTCATTTGCACAGAAGATCATAAGAAACTATCAATTCGTCAAAGCTGACAGGAAAGCCTAAATATGTGGCCATTTGTTTTGCTGAAGACTGTAGTTTGAACACTGTTTTCATTATAGGGCAGTGGGGAAATGCAGGTAAATTGCTTTAGCGACCAGCAGGAGGGACAAGACATTGCCATTTACAGTGAGTTTTCTGTCTTCATGTGCATTTCTTTTGCTCCATGGCATGGGTCCCCTTTAAGTTGGAATATAAAGCAAACTGCACTAGGTCTGGTCTATAACCATGGCTGAAAATAGAGTATCAAGGGGAGGTTCTTCCTCCACAGTACTTTTTTTTTTTCCTACGGAGCTGTGTTGGAAAGGGAAGAAAACTCAAGTCTGGATTTTGAAGACAACCAGCTGAACCAAACAGCTAATTTCATTCTACAATGGGAATGTGAATTCCACTTTAGGAGACGGTGGTATAGTTTTTTAAGGTACTTAGAGATTGGTTCACTGGCAGGTTCAGGAGCTGCTTGATCAAACACTTGTTTTAAAGGCAACTCACATATTTTACTTCCACTGTTGTCAATCTTTTCACAAAACTGTGGGGCATACTCCTTTTTCAAAATCCAGTATTGCGCTTCTCCAGGCCTCCATCCTATATGTGTTGGATAAAAAGTTTTTGTAAATAATGCATGCATCATAAACTGTTTATAAATATCTTCTGATGGTGGGCTGTTTCCCCTGTCCTTCCCATTATGCCTCAGCTATTACCTAGATGGTTGCTAGCATGGAGATGAAGAATTGACTGTTTTATTCTCGCCTTGTTTCCAGGGGAACAAGAATTACAACAGAATCCACTAGCAACAGGACTAATGTGTCTGAAACATCTCTGACCAATGCTCTATACTGAAAACATGATTACCTCTTTTTCTTTGCAGGTGCATATGTGCTTCAAGTAAAGGCAACAGATGCTGATGATCCCACTTATGGAAACAGTGCTAGGGTGGTTTACAGCATTCTTCAGGGGCAACCGTATTTCTCCATTGATCCAAAGACAGGTAAACAGTTTATCAGCAACAGTGGAAATTTTAAACTTTGGATTTTGATTCATGTGGGCAGTATCAATGAATAAATATGGACTGGGCTGATATGCCCAAAAGCCAGTAGAGTAACGCTGCACATGATTCAGTTTTGGATATTGACTAGTTTTTGAATGAATTACAATCTGTTGTTGAAACAAAAGAAACATGCTCCTCCAATCAGTCCTGGAATATCTAATATATATATACATTGAACTTTTTTTTTTTTTTATGCTTTACCATTGCTCTATAGCTAAAGCTTTATCTGCTACATGCATTCTATTTTTTGTTTTTTCCTGATGATTCAGTTTTTTATCTTGGGTCTACATTCTTTTTTCTCAGCATTTTTACTTGCTGAACTTACGGTCAGAAATTCTCTAACAATGATTGTTTTGCTATATAGAGCTAATTTGAGACTGTGGAACAGCTAATGATCTCCTGCCCTCCTCTTTTCCTGGGGCATAGTATGTTTTTCTGGGGTTACGGGATGTGTGAGCAGAAAAGGATAACATGTATAAAGAGAGTGAAATATTTGTGAGGTTGGTAGACACATTAATTAGGTATCTTGTCTTATATTTCTAAATGTCATTCTTGTTTCTATATTTAGTAATTCAGTTAAGGAGCCAATAACCTACATGGTGAATGTCATGCATTGTGTCAGCCTGAATGCGTTACAGGAATAGTTGTCCATATGTCCCTTTCAGCAAATAGTTTCTCCTCCCAGTGAAGCTGTAGTTGAATGTCAGACTGTGTGTTAAAGAGGCTTTATCCCTGATCAAACAATAGTTTGGTGGTGAGAGCCTCATAAGGCTATTAGTGGACTATCTCCAGTGGGCACATTCCTTTGTCACATGCTCCATTTAGCAGGAGATAGTATTGCAATTTGCAGTGAGCAACTTTACTTTTCAAACTGAAATGGGACTTCTTCATGTGTCTGGGGGAAAAAAAGTTTTTACCTTTATACTTATTTTTTATTTCAGTCTTGTAAAGAATGAGAAGGAATTCAACGACAAGAAAAACCTTTACTGAAGCCACAATTGGAGTTCTATTCCAAGTTTCCCAAGAAAAAAATTAATAGTTATTAGTACTTGAAGAACTTTTTTCCCGTGGCACTTTGAATTGCTGTATCTTATGCTCTCATCTATTACTCAGTAGGGAGTAGTGAGTGGACCATAGGTGATGGCCTGCACCTACCAGCCCTGGAAGATCATACAAACCCAGTAATTCCACATCTGTCTATTAATATCTTTAATGAGTTACTCAGGTGGACCTTGGTGGTAAAAGAACGGACACAGCTGTAAAGGAAGATTCATGAAACAGCTAGCCCAGCATAGCTTAAAATCCTATACCAGAAAAAAGCATACAGATTCATGCTTCTACAAGCAACAATAATGTGCTGTAATCTGTCTTACATTAGAAAGGTCACAATATGAGAGTTACCTGTGGGTATAACAATGACTGTAGAGGTAAATAGTATGTGAATAATAATGCACAGGATGCTGCTTAATGATTTGCTCTAAAATCCAGAAATCTTGGGCAGCACTACAGATCATCTGGCATTTCTAATTCTTTATTTTATAACTGAGGAGATGATACAGTAGTTTTTCACTGCAGAGTTTTACCACCAGACATCTGCCTTGAGTGTTTTTGACAGGAAAGGGGAAGAAAGCCATTTGGGTACAAAATAACAGACAATTTCAGAACTGCTGGCAGATGGATAAGCATTTATTGGGTTGCTGCTGTTGGTTTTTTTGCTGTCTCTTGCATTCTAGTGACAATTTTGAGACATTCCCTTGTAGTTATTTAAAGAAATTAAGAATATCCATACTAGGTCAGACCAAAGGTCCATGCTGCCCTGTACCGTGTTTCCAAAAGTGATGTCCTGCTCAGCTCTAGTGAAGGATAGAAGAAGAAATGTTTAGTGATACACCCCCGAATACTCTTCTAGTCTTCAACAACTTGTTCTTACGAAGTTCCTGGGTGATTAGCAGTGTCCATGTAACTAAAACTGAAAGGATTTATCCTCCATAACTTGTCCGCTTCCCAGTAGAGTTGACTTGTCCAGGAGCACAGTATCTGCACACCCAGCGACTAGAAATTCCACAGCAAAGGTTTTTTTGGGTGAAGAACCAGCTCCTCTTTCTTCTTTGAAATGCGACACCTCTTAAATTATTTCATACCTCACACCTGCATTGCACGAGACAGTGAACAGTTAAGTCCTATTTATTGGTTCCCCATGACCTTATAGACCCCAGTTACCTCTTTTCTAGATTGAAGACTTCTTTAAACGGAAGCCATTCCATAACACTGATCATCCTTCTCTTCCTTCTCGGGAAGAGAAAGTGTACACAGTATTCAAGAAGGCAGCTTATATGGATGTATAAAATAGTTTAATCATAACACTTTTGTTCTTTATTCCTTTTCAAACAATTCCAAACATTCTCTTTACTTTTTAGCTTCTACCACACAAAAGCTGATATGTTTGTGGAAATTTCTATTATTACCTCAAGATCTCATTGCAAAGCAGTAATAGTGAAACCACTGACCATAAATTTATATGTAAAATAAGGATTGTGTTTGGCATGCACATGACTTTACACATACTCCTTTCTCAAATCATTCCTGATAGGTGATAAACATTTACTCTGGTATGAATGTAGTACACTTAAATAGTTTTTAACCTTTATGGGTCTGAATAGCAGTCACAGCTGCTCCTTTACTCTTCTTTACTGACCTCCTAATTTTTTCCAGTGCTTTGCTGAAGGTGAGCAAACTATGTAGAAGCGGGAGAGTTAGCTTTTATTGCTCTTGCAGGAAGGTTAAATGCATTACAGTCCCTGTTGGAGAGCAGCTGTTGGACTGGCACATTTTAAGGCCTCAAATCTTATATGTGGGGGTTACTTTTGATGCTATGAAATTGCTCTTCTGATTTTAATGTGAGTTTTCTTTAACATAGAGCACTTCTTTTAAGACAGATAACCTCCCTTATCTTTCCTCTGTACATTCTGTTCTGTTACTAAAATGTCCTTTTGACAAACTTCTTTCCACCCAATTTTCTGATGTGTTTATGAGGTCAATATTCTCATTTATGGCTAGATGTCTCCAATTTTTTCTTAGACTCAGTATTCTAGTTCATATTCTGACCTCAATTATATTCTTGAAATCCAAATTGGTGTCAGCTGGAGTATTGATGTTAATATTTATTCAGGAGGTTTTTTAAAGAACCTGAATTTTCTCTTCCACATAAGTGGATGATCTCCTCTTGAATTATGGCTCAATAACTTTGCAGAGTATATCTCCTGGCCCAGGTCCCATACATACTATTTTCAATTTTCAGCAGCCTTATTGAGACCATACTTTTCTGCACATTTTATATTGATGACATTTGCAAAGAAAAAAAATTAAAGGTATTCCGTTCTGGAGCCGAACAATCTTTATCGTAAAATCTTAAGGTAGAAGGATTTAAAAACACTTAGAACACCATTACATGCACATAAGACCTCTCTGTTATACTAAGTCTTTGGTTCAAAATTTGGATATTCTTTGTGAAGCTGAAGCTGTGATACCGAAATTTGTAGTCTTTTTTTCCCCATGGATTTTTACCTCCATTTTATTTTGCTATTTTGCTGTTTAGATAACTTTAAATCACCTTTTTCCTGTCCATGTGAACTGATTATTTTGGTAGAAACAGTATTTTTCAGGGGTTTTTCTATGCTTTTGAAATAGATTAGGTAGAAAAGGGAAAATTGCCTATGAACTGCTAGATATGAAAATTATTCGCATTGATTTTTTTTGCTGGAGACAAAGGTTTTTACAGAAAAATATATAAGAATGCCCTTATACGTCCTGATAGGAATAAACAGTGGGTGATTGGGAACTTTACTACTAGAGTGATAGCCAATTCCTCCTTTTCTGAAGACCATCTGGAATATTTCTGAGAAATCCACTCACTTGTACATAAAACAGGTATAACAATCAGATGAATTGCATCTCCTGCTCACAACCTACTATCTGCCCATTTTCAGTTTTTTCTACTTACTGTTATTTTATTTTGCTAGTATAACAAGGGAAGACTAATTCTCATAGCTCTTTTCTTCTTAGAATGAGCATAGCAAGGATGTTGTAAAATACTGTGGAACGTACAGTCTCCGTAATGCAAAAATATGGATTAAGAGATTCAAGAGGAAACCTAGTAATGTTCATCCTATTTACAAAAAGATTTTTTTCATGATTATCACATGAATATGAACAAATTTTTACAGTTTTACAATTCAATATTTCTGTCTGGAACAAACAAAACATTGAACAACATTTATTGTTTCTAAAAGTTCAAAAGGATAGTGTTGCAGTATCTAAATGTCCTTAAGTATTTGCTAATCATATTCCCGATCTATGCAGTACAGTATATGCCATGTTGAGGTAGAAAACAGTAGTCATTATTAATGTTGTTGTTATCATCATCAGTGTTACAAGTGGAGAGAAAGGAAATTGTTATACAATTCAATTCAATGGGAATTTTTAATAGGTTCCAGAAATAGCAAATTTAGGTCAAAGTTATGTCTAGACTCTGAACAAGTACTATAAGCTAACGGTTCCTATTCTTGTTAACACAGCAGCGGTTAGTTGCTATAAAGATAAGAATGATTCTTAAAGTTTGTTTCTTATCATTCCAGACCCATTATAATACCAGGGGGAAAAGACTGCTTTTAAACCCAAATGGTTTAATACTAGAAAACAGTATTTTCTAAAACAATAATAACTTAGAGGAGAAGCATGCTTCCAATTGGTTTATTTTTCAGTTGTGCATGCTATCTGCACCAATCTGCACCTAACTGTTTTCTGAAAACTATTGCTGAATATATAGCATTTTGCAATGTAATATGCACTTGTAAAATTTTGACAAAGAAATGTGTTTTCTCCTACACATTTGGTTTCAAGAGAAAGGCTTGAGCACCCAAAACCTTATAGCTTTTTACAACCTCATCAGTTAATCCTATGATCAGTAGTACCTCTCTCTCTACAAGTCTTCCTTTTATCATACACATTCTTAACATATCAGAGGGAGATTATGGCATACCTATTTAGACATCAGCTATCCAAAATCACTGAAGATTAAGTCATTTGGGTAATATCTTACCATGATATTTTAATTACATTTCTTTAAGGAAACTCCTGAAGTTTTCACTGCATCTATGTGCTATATCAAGAAAACTTTCTCAATCAAAGGAGAGTCTTCTAATAAAGACCTTCTGTACAGAAGGAATATTGTCTTGGCTTACAGTAGCTTAACTGTGATGGCAAGTTACTGGTTGGAAACAATTGAAGATGCAGTCTCTGAAATGCATTGCCACCTCCTCCTACATTGCCGTACTCTGCACAATGCAGCGTTCTTCGATCCCGATGTGGCGAACCTATGCTCATGCCATAGTGAATCCCTAGTGAAAATGCACAATTCTCTTTCAGCCATTCATGTCCTGATTGAAAAGACACAACAGTCATTTTGAATGGTTGAATAGCTGACAAGCACACTTTTGAAAAGCCCGAGTGATTTGCATGTTTCTGTGTGAACTCCTCTCTTATGAACCCTTTAGGAAGAGTACCATTCCTGGTCCAAGAGATCCAGTATTAAAATGTAATAGTAAACAATCACAGCCCTTTGCTTACTTGTTCTTTCTCTTTCCCATTTCTTCTCGTAGGTGTAATAAGAACAGCTCTGCCAAATATGGACAGAGAAGTGAAAGAACAATATCAAGTTCTAATCCAAGCCAAGGACATGGGAGGACAGCTGGGAGGACTAGCTGGTACTACCACTGTAAACATTACTCTCACGGATGTCAATGACAACCCACCCAGATTTCCTAAGAGTATGTTGCATTCCAAATGCACTAATTTTCAAATAAGCATGACTGAAAGTATTAATGTGAAAAATCCTTTAGATAAGGAATTGAGATCCAGGAAGAAGAACAGTAGATGATGAAAAAATTTAGAATATACTGTTGGTTTTTTAAATGATATAAAGCTCAATTTGAAAGTATGAGTTTTGAATGTTTAAGAGGAAATATATCATCATTCCACAGGGCCAGCCTGAGCCTAGGAGTTCATTTCATTTATACTTTAAAAATGATTTGGCAAATACTATTTTGTCAAGGGAAACTGGATGATCCCCTTCAAATGACAAAAGGTTATAACCTGAGACTTCCAGGCACCAAAGACAGAACTGGCTCACACTAAGCACTGTTGTTATGATAATCAGGAACAGATTTTTTACACGTCTTGGCCAAAAAGATATATCTATCCTTGAAAACACTTACAGCCTCAAAATAGTGATCTTCCACTGACAATTTATAACATTTCATATCAATTAGTTTAAATGAGGCTTTTCAGAAGTATGCTAATTTAAAGAGTTTCATAGTCTGTGTATGATTAGCACGATTGTCACTTACTGCTCTCCTTAAATTTACTGAAGTCTTGTATATTCCGTACCTTTGAAATGCAGACACTAATCAAGCATAAACCTTGATAACTATGCCAAAACAATTAGCTGCTAAAAGTTGTTAATAAGGTAAATTCATATTAGAAAATTTGTGTGAATTTGCAGTAAGATCATGGCAGCTTTTTACTTTGTATCTCTTTTCTTGCACATGAATTATAATCCCATTTTACGTATTATAAATGCTCCTTAGGTGCCAAACCACACCTGAAACTTCACAGTTTTCTCTCATATAGAAATTCTTCTTCTTTTCCTCAGTATGAAAATATATTGCATTCTGCAGGCATGTAAGAATGACCATATTAAGACAAAGATCCATCTGGCCCTGCCTTCTGTCTCTTACACTGACATCTAGAGGGTATACATAAAAACAAGCCAAACAATACTCCAGAACATTTCCTCAGTTTCTAATGATTTTTAGCCCAGGTGGTGTCTTTGTATTTAACAACCCTTAATGGATTTTTCTTACAGCAAGTTGCCCCGTTGCTTTGAAACTTACGTAAAATTTCAGAGTCCACAACATCCTATGTTAGTGAGGTGCACAGATTAATCATATATCATACAGCAAACAGCTTCCCCTCATTTGTTTTGAATCCATCCCTACGTATCTACCTGCATGTTGACCTCTTTAAATAATTCAGAAAGTGTTACAAAATATGACCTTTATTTAGAAAAGCTGTGTTGAGTTTTTTTCAGTATGGGATATTCTCCATGAGGCAAAAACCCTGTGTATGTCTTTCGGGAAAAAAATCAGTGTTATAATAGCACCTCCAAGACTTCATGTGCCACAGTGTTTTGAAGCAAAATATTACACATCGTAATAGTTCACTTATTTCATCCTTCAGGCTCTTGGGCATGTAACAGCTAATCCCAATGATTTGTTACTGTTGTGTCTGTTTGTTTAAAAACTGCTTCTATAGCTAACTTAACCTTCTGATGAGTCTCCCATAAAGAAGGGGTCCAGGACAGAAAAATTTCCCAGCTATTCTACACTGAACACAAAGAAAAAAAATTATTAATTTTACACTTGTGATCTTATCTTCTCTGAGCACTTCTTCTAGATCTCAATTTTGGGTTGACTTTACACAGTCTCTCTCAGGCTTTTGCTTCCAGATGTCTTTAAAAGGCAATTATTGTTAGCTTGTTTGCCAGAGATTTATTCAAAGTCATTTTTTGTCTTCTTTATTGTGGTTTTATAGATAAAGCAGATTTTATGGTTCTTTCTATTGTTCTCCCTGAGACACAACTTCATTTTTTTGAAAGATGTGTTCTTGCTTTTATTAGCTATGTTGTTTACCCTTACTGACTTGTTTTTTAATGGGTGCTGTGCATTTGCTGTGTCCCTAGGTAACATCCACATCACCCACAGTGATTTAACTCTCAGCTATCTCATTCAGATTTTTTATAGCAATATCCCTAGGTTTATTTATTTACACTTTTTTTTTTTCTTTTTTATTTAACTGTGTACAACCATCATGTAATTTTGGCTCTTACTGCTCCTGCACAGATACTGCTTTTAAACTCATTACGGTTGCTGTAAAATTTAGAAGGACTAAAGAACTTTTCCTGACTAGCTAGTGTTAATACTGTTCTCTTTTTTAAGTCTTATTTGACTTCGAGCTTCCTTTAACAACCATCATTATTCCTCCACTGATAAGGTCTACTTTGCTGTTCCTGTGTATTTTGCTCCTTGGTACTGTGCTGCCTGACTGATTTTCTTCTTTCCCACAGATTTTGAACATACTTATTATGCTGATAATAAGCATAATAATAAACACTTGTTTAGTGTTAGACATTAAAGCTACCCATACTAGTTCCCATTTTAACCCTTGGCTTTATATTGTGGTTTTCTTTCTCCTCTTTACTGGAGGAGAAACTCCTCCCCTAGTTTGATTCTGTGTGCTGTACCATTTCTGCATTTCCTACTGGACTACCATCACCTTTTGTGGCATTCTTCAGTGAAGAATGCAGAATTCTGGTGACTGCACCCTTCATCTGAACTGTGTACTTTTGCATTTTTTTGAATTGTGTGCTTTCCAAGACCTGCAAATTTTCCTGAACTTTTCAGCTAGAATCACAGTAGTCATAGGAAAGTTTTTAAACTTTCTGAAGCCTGTTTTTCCCATGGCCAAAATGAATTTTGCATCTTCTCTATGGGCACCCATTCTTTAGCAAGTTCCCCTACTTTCCAATAATGTGAATCCCTTCTCCTTATACCTTTTTCTCAGCCAGGCATTTAAAGCTTTGCCTTTCCATCTTTCTCTCCCTGATTGTACATTGCGAGACAATTTCATATTATGCTACTATGAATGTCCTTAACTTCAGCTTTCGCTTGCCAGCCTAAATTTTACCCCTAAGACGTTTGTCCAGTCTTACCTTATTTTGTCAGAGCTCACATGGACTACAGCCACTGGCGCCTCCTTGTGTTTCCTGACATCCTGTCAAAACATGTGACTTGCTCCAAATCTGGTCAACAAGCAAATCATCCCAGAGGGTCTCTTTGAACCAACATTTCCACTGTCCTCGTCCTCAATGCTTGTTAAACCTCCCACCACTGCAGTCTGCTCCTTCTTTTCAGCTGGAACCCCTGCTGCTGGAAGGGTACCACAAGTGCAAGAGGAAATAATGTAACTGCTTGGAAATTGAAAAACTCAGTGCATTGGCAAGTTCCTTGGGCCCAATGTTCTTTCCTGTGTCTGATTTTCAGTTGTATATTTTACTTTCTTTGTTGTTAGGGGTCTTAGTAATTTTCTATTTTATTGTATACCTTCATCTACTATGGTGTTGCAAAAAATACACGTCTCACATAATGTCAGACAGTTCTCATGACACAGAGAAGTGGAATATATCATCCTCTTTGAACAAGATAGCTTTGAGGTCTCATTTAATGCATGCACTGTAGTTATGACGTCTTTGCCCATTTTTTGCTATGAAGGAGCAAAAAAAATCACAAGAGACCAACCTTGTCCTGTGCTTTGCATGCTAATAGGGTTGAAAACCTTTTCTTTCTGTTATATCAAATGTCACAGAAGCCGAATTATAGCAGTGACTCTCAACAAAACAGAAGAGAATAATATTGGAAGTTCGTGTTGATATTGAAAATAATAAACTTTTAGCATGGCTTACAAGCTAAAATGTCAGTATGGGGACTCCGGTGTATTGGAACAAGTTTGATTAAGGCGGACAGTTAACTGAAACATTCTTTTCTTTTGGAATGTGTTACAGGCAACATATTTATATTCTCATAAACTAAGAACTTCTGTTTAATTGAAATAGTAAAAGCAAAAATTCTGATCAATGGGGATTTACTTAGCCAGTCCCATTTGGTTAAGGGGTATGTGAGATGATGTCTAATGTGCCTGAAATTCACAGAGACACAAGGCTAATTACAGCTAAACAAAAATAATTGATAGAAAAAAAGTTGAGTATGAATTTTATTTCTGTGTATTAACCGTATTTTTCAGTTTTGCTCTTTGAAAATGTTGCAATGATTCAGAGTAACTGCCTGCCAGGAAATGGAGTTTGTCATTTGCTTGACTACCACAGCTAAAAGGATACTTGTGCAGAATTTTAGTTTATGTGAAAAATAAGCCTTTAAAATCAGGTCCAGGTAGGTGCCAAGTTCAGGTCTGGCAAGACCTGAAGAGCCCTCACTGTTGCTGGCAGTTGAGACCTCCAGTATCACATTACTCATCGTTGGTCAACAACGCCAAGAAATCCAAGTGCAGACTGAGAAAAGGGACTGAAGGTCCTTTAACACTAACTGCTGCAGGGTAAATATTTTTGCATCACATAATCAGGACAACAGTTTCCCAAAGGGCTTATGCCAAAGATGCCCTGCTGTAGATTACCTTATCAAATAAGAAGAGATTAATTATCACAGAATAAAGTTTAAATTTCTTTTCTGAACTCAGTTAAGCTGAAAAAAAAAAAAATCACAGTAGAAGTGGGAGAATATATATTATTAATACTTGGAAGAAGCTACGCTGATAAATAATACATTACAAGCTTGCAAAAAAAATGTGTCATGGAACATATTCATCTCATCGAGGGTCCTTTAAGGAGACAGGCAGGTTTGGATGGGATATCAGCATCCAGTGATGAAAAACCACCGACTATCCTGCTGAACATGGAATTTTTTATTTAGAACCTGTGCTTTTGAACATATTCAGTGGGGAACTCCCACCTTGGATGTCTCACAGTAATGAAGAGTGTAACAAGGGGGAAACCTCTAAACATTATATATTTCTGTCAGAGTTGTTTGACCTGCAGGTATCTATTGGCCGACATTCCAGAAAACTGAGGCACTTCAGAAAACTGATATTTTCTTTATAATTAGAAGGAAAAAATGAATCTGAGTTATTTTATTAGCAG